ATTTTCAGTATTTTTTAATATTCCAGCATGTACAGATTTTGAATTGTATTGTATTGACAGTAATTATTTTTTTATGAAGAGCTAAAATATTTTAAGTTGAAATTGTATTTATTTTGGAATGATATCCTGTATTTTGGTTCATATTAATGGTTAAAAACATAAATATTTAGTCTGTTAAATAAATGGTTATACTGTTCGGCCCGCGAGTTTTGAGTTTTGGCCCCCTGTGCAATTGAGTTTGACACCCCTGGTCTATTTTATATACAGGGTAGCACATCACCGCTGCTGACATGCAGCCACCTCTGGAGTGCACCACAGCAGTTGTTTGGCAACGTTCCACGAGAGTCAAAGAAGGGAAGTGAAAAAGCATACTAGGTCCATTTGAAACTGTGGGGAAAGGTAAGTGGACAGTATCCATCGAAACTGGAATTTGACCAGGACACTGCAGCTAACACATTACTCTTGTGAAAGTGCCATGCAATCTGTAATGACTATGAATAGTCAGGACCTTGATTTTTACTCTCCTTGGAAAGACCTCCAACATTACGGTGCATCAAAAGAAGAGTTTAAGCATTGGCTCAGTACTGACTGAGAGGAAAGAGTGCCACCTACTGAAGTATCAACACCACACCTTGCAGCAGTTTGGGTTTTCTGTGAAGGTCTCCTACTGAAACACTGGCCATTCCCAATCCTGTTTAGTTTGTGAAATTTGACAAGATTATCTCCCAGGATGGAATGGCTGTGAGTTAATCATAAACAGGACTCACATGAAGGTGACCGCTGACTTTAGAATGAAAGCAAATGCAGAGAGTAAATCAACTGATTTCTGCCAGTAAGGTTTGCCCTGTAGTGAATCTGAGGCCTCTCTATAGCTGGGAGCAGACAGGAACACTGAAGTGCAACCTTTACTCAGATTAATTTTTGCTAGATTATCTCAGGATCTGATCATGATCTTGATTTCTTTCATGTGGGCCTCATAGATTTGCTCTGCACAGTTAAAGTTCTTTGAGGGGTTTAGGATTAAAACAGGATTGAAATACAGTAGAGAACTCTGTAATGATACATTAGAAGCTTAGCCAGATAATCTAAATGGATGGGAAAAAATTTGGGGTGTAATTTACTTGGAGATTAATCCATTGCACCTTGGGAAGGTGTGGAGAATTCTAACTGTTTAGAAAGGTGCCCTGTCAGGAGAGATCTTTTAGATGGGAAAAGCACATTTTCTAAAACCCCCAGAAAAACAATTGTTTGGGGGAGGGGGATATCATGCACTGCCATTCCAGCCTGTTCATTGCAGAAATAGTTGAGGAAATCTGCCCCTCCATTTATGCAATTTTTGAAGAACACATCCTCTTCCCTGAAAAGATCCAGGACCAAAGAATGAGATGATTTGCCTATGCCTAGACAAAGATGGATGTAGCTGGTAGTCCAAAGAGAGGGGGGGTTACCTCCCTGATGCGGGGGGGGGGAACAAAAACAAAAAAGTCCTACAGTGATTGGATGTAGGATAGCTATAAAAAAGGAAAGTTAACTGTTCCCACAGAAGGCCATTTGATCTGAAATGGCAAAAATCTGAGGTTTGGGGACTGCTTTTAATCTAGGGCACGAGGGTGAACGAACCCCACATGGGCTATGGTAAAATGGGTGTTATTAAAATCCCTCCCTAAATAGCCAAATGAGCCTGTAAACAATTACCAGGAAGTGTATTACAGCCACCTGCTAACGTGGTTGCTCTCAGTCTGTTCTCTAAGCAGGGGGTAATGGAAGAACAGGAACATCATGGATTAAGCAGGCTCCTCCTCCAAGAGATATTATTACCCAGGGAAGTTGGAAGTCAGAGAAAGCTGGAATATGGATTTCACCCAAGGGATTTCTCTTGTGCTGACTGTAGGAAACCTTTGAGAAACAGCCTCTACCTATTCCTGTATTTCCTTTGGCTGAAACCCGCCTTATTCTTCTGCATGGACTCCAGCTGAAGAAAGGTCATTTCCTTGACATACAGACAGGCTTGAGGATCTTTTACTTTGCTTAGAGCTGGGATGAGGAAAGCCTTTTACTATGCATTTTGACTAGCAGGCTTTGGAGGAAAATGATGTTTTGTATTACTGTTTAGTGGTTGAAAAGACTTATTCAGGCTTCATTGTGAGGGGTGGGTGAGCCTCTTGGTGATACCCCAATATAAGGCATAATAGGTACTTGGTTTGCAGTTTCACTATTTCTAGATGCTGGTTATTTACAGTCCTCTTAAATTCAGGCTCTCGCACCACCCCCACCGAATGAACAGGTCCAACCACATTCTTAGGGGAATGTTGTCTCTCGTGGACTCTGAGGGGTTCAGGAAGGCTCATGTGTCTGCTCATTTGGGCATTCACTTCTAGACTGTCCTGTCTCACAGCACTGCCTGCGTCCTCCCTGTTAGAAGAAGTACAGGGTTCCCTCTTTAAAAAGGTGGTGTGCTGCACCCTCTGAGGATGATTACACTTTTGCAGATATTCAGCACCTTCCTGGCATTAAACCTCCACCAAAATCACGTTGGGTCCTTCCCAGTGACAGTGCAAAGGGCAGGCAGCATGTGAAAGAGTTGCTGTGAGGTGGCTGAGGGAGAATGAGAGCTCAATTGACTCTGTGTTTCAGCGCTTTTCCGTGTAATGATTAAGGCTTCAACCGTGTCAACCATCTTCTCTGGAAAAGTCCGAAAAGGCTGTCAGAGTGCAGTACTTTTATCACATTATTGTGACCTCTAAAAGAAAAGAAATAGTTTGTAGAGATTAAGAGGGAGACAAAGGCCTCAATAATTTTGGAGTGTTATGTGAACTCAATAAGGCACCATGGAGATTTTTTTTCCATAGGAACCTGAAAAGTCGCGTAACGGATGTGAAATCAAGGGAAAATGTCCTGCTCAGGGGTCTCTGTGCTAATAAGATACAGTGGCAAACTTCCCCAGTCTGCCTCTAGACAAGTTAGGAGTATGTTCCTTCATGACCTTCTCAGCAAGGTTCATTCTAAACTGTAACTTGAGTCATTTTAAAGAAAAGCTCATAGTCTTTAAGAGAGGGAGGATTAAAAGAGGAGTCAGGGGTTTCTTCTGAGTCCTGCACTCATGGAGATGTTTGCTCAAAGGGCCACAGCCACAAGTCTTTACATTATTTGGACAGATGTCCCTGAAGAAAGGGGTCAGTAACTCTGAAGAAATCTGAAACGGAGCCAGAGGGACTTTGCTGGAATTGGACGAAAGGATTGTTGTCGGGCAATAACTAGTGGTCTCGGGTGATCTTGTTTGTTTAAAACTCAATAAACAGATTTACAGGTTGGACTTTGGTTCAAAGTTAAACAAAAAATAGAAATGTAAGAAGACAATTAAAGAGGCAAGGTTAAACGTGTGTTTTCAAATCAAAACCCGTGTTAAACTGGCCTCTTAAACTGTCCTTAAACACTTCTTTGCTTTGAGTTTTCTTGACAATCTCAGATGGGTTTCTCCTGAGTGCACATAAAAAGTCACATTGTTTCTTGTAGATTCTCCTAGTCTGAGGCTTGGATCTTTACCCAAGCTCTATTCTGTAATCAGGTTTGTTATTATCATGTAAATATATGTCTGAACTGAGCTCAATGCAGGGAGGGGAGAGGCTGTTGCCTGGAAGCTGGTTATGGCTCATTGATTCTCAGCCAGCGTAACCTCAGGGTGAGTTAAAACAGCGTCAGGGCTGCTCTAAGCTATGTCACTGGAGACCATGGAGATCATTTGTCCATGGAGGATCAATAGCAGCACTCTGCCTCAACCCCACCCTTTCCTCCTGCAGGAGCTAATTCTCCTGGCTTTCCACTAGGGGAGTTCTCCATTGGTGCATTGCAGCCAGAATCCATCTCCTTTGTGGTTTTTGTGCAGTACAAAGGGAGCCAAGTGTAATGCAAGAACTAGCCCTTTTGGTTTTCTTTTCAAGGTGTATGCCTCTACCTGATGTGAGTAAGGGCAGTCCAGACAGAGTGCTAAGGATCCTCCCTGTTGTCCATTCCCTTTGTTTTCTCTACTGCCTAATCAGGTGGCTGCCAAATGCACCTTTCTTCTACTGTTCAAGTAGACCAACAATTGACAAACATAACAACAAGGTTAGCAATTGTTTTGTGAAAGGTGACAGGGATCTAGATGGAGACCACCAGAATCAAAGCACCAGTGATCTAAACTGGGCCTTCAGAGGGAAGAGGCAAGTGCAGTAGCCCACTGCTTCACCCCTGAGTATTACACCATCACCTTGGTTCCCTGGTGCTCTGCTGATTGGGTGCAATTGATGATTGTGGAGAAGGCCAGTGCAAGGCCTATGCGCTACTTATGTTCCAATTAAGCCCTCAAAATAGGGCTAATGTAGAACTTACCTGGTGCACAGGCCTTGTGCTAGCTTTCTGCACAAGGGTGAATTTCATCCAGGAGAACTATATTGATGCTTTCTATGAAGGGCTGCTTCTGAGTGCTAGATATGTGAAGAAATCTACTGTCCAAGCATTGGCTATGGCAAGGCAGAGCTCACTGGGAACTGCTTCATCTGTTATTAAGGTAGTTAGGGTGGGCCTACTAAATTCAATGAGACTTGGGTGAGTTTATTCCTGGATAGTCGAGAGAGGTAGGATGTCTCTCCAAGGTGTTTACTTGGCTGGTTCTGTCTTGTCCCACTGTTGATGTGTGCATTTGTAGTACCAGTTATTTGCATACGTTCCTCTTTTGAGCTCCAGGACTCACAGGGATCAGAACTGCCAAATGCAGCAGTGATTAGATTAGCTGGTTCCATAGGAAATCCAGCGTCAAACAAGGACCCGGGTGGGTGTACTTGAGAGACTGGAGTCCATATTGGTCCTGTTGTCAGACTTACTTTCTGCAAGGAGCCAATTCTTGGAATAACATTTCATAATCTCTGGTTTCTAAATAGCCAGTTTTCCCAGGCCAAATTATTCTGTCCAAGGTATTTCATTTTTCTTTGCACATACAGTAGAATGGTGTGAAAAGAAAGGAGGGGGGGAGTGTTAAAATGACTGTTAAAAATTCAAAAATGTAGGAGAATAAAGAGAAAAACATAACCTTCTCCCCCTGCCAAAAATCATCACAGAAGAATAATAATGTTTTTCATTTCTGCAGCACCTTTCATCTGAGACTCTCAAAGCACTTTGCAAACATAGATAAAGCTTTGCAACTGTCAAGCTTTAGATTGGAAATAAGGCATAAGCTGTTAACACTAAGGGTAAGTAACCATTGGAACAATTTACAAAGGGTTGTGTGGGATTCTCCATCACTGACAATTTTAAAATCAAGACTGGATCTTTTTCTAAAAGATATACTCTAGGAATTATTTTGGGGAAGTTCTATGGCCTGTGTTATTCAGGAGATCAGATTAGATGATCAAAATGGTCCCTTCTGGCCTTGGAATCTGTGAATCTATGACCACTTAAGTGAAATTTTTTTTGGCCATTTTACAGATGAGGGACATTGAGGCAGAAAGAGGCTTAATGACTTCCCCAAGATCAGGCAAAAGGAAAAAAAAACAGTGGCAAAGGAAGAGTCCCAGCTCCTTATCGACTGTCCTAATCATTATACACACTATATTTTCACAGCACTACAAAAATATGAATACAAGAAACCAAAAAAAGCCAAAGGAAACACATTTCCTGTAAATGTGTGAAAATGGTATGTTTGGTCTGATAATCTTGAACACATTTCTTTTGAAAGCATAATTTATTAAAATAAGCACATGTAATTTTGCAATTATAAATACAATATGTGCATTAAACACATTAGTTAAGAAGTTATGCTTTTAAAACTGCAAATCACTAACCAAATGCATTTTACAATGTTTTAATGAGCACTTTTTCATATGGTATTAATATCCATTAGCTATGTTAATACAAGTAATGCTAATAATGTACAAAGCCATTATTTTGCTACAAAGTCAATAATGGATGGTAGTGATTCCTAGACTGAACTGCCTGAGAGGGTTTATATTGTGTTTAGTGCAATGGTAAAAGTACCACTGAATTTCTCTCTCTGTTAACTAAATTCTGGCTGCTTTCATGGAGGGTAATTATCTGGGTTAGGTGGAGGTCTGTGGGGTGATTTTGGAGGGGTTCTATAAATCAACACAGGTGCTGGGTAGAAATAGCGCACAGATGCCCTTCTGTCTTCCATAAAGCAACACCAGGATATAGGGACATTTCCCCTGTTTTCTATTGCCTGCTCACTAATGTTGTCTCATTGTTTCTTTGCACTTGTCTGTCTGTCTGTATCCATCTGTTGTCTCTTGTCTTATATTTAGATTGTGAGCTCTTTGGGACAAGGACTGTCTTTTTGTTCTGTTTGTACAGCACCTAGCACAGTAGAGTCCTTCTACAGGACTGGGGCTCCTAGATGCTATGATTAAACAAATAATTAATAAAAAGAACTAACCATTTTCATCGGTACACTATACGTACCTGCCCTCTCCTTTGCACAGGTATAAATTTCACCATTATGAGATAAGCAGAGTTAGGCCTGACCTGCAAAGTTTGGATTCAAACTTCCCCAGCGTACATTGGTGGTTGGGTTCTGAGATGGATTCAAAGCCAAACTGAAGTCAATGGAAAAACTCCCAATGACTTCCATGGGCTTTGCATCAGTCCCTTGCTTTGAGCTCATCTTTAAATATAACTTTGATATATTGTATCTAAATGTATTTTATTGGCTAGACTCTCTTTGGAACAACTATGATTGTTATTTTGCCAGATAATCTGGTGAAATGTAATAGTTGTTTAGTTAGTGGATGGAATGAGGAGTGATTATTGGGAGAAATTCTACTTGAAGTTGTAATACAATTTGCAGATACATTATACTGCTTGCTTTAGAAAAACATTTATAAGCTGATTTGCAAGTAAAATATTTTATTATACTAATATTTGGAACATTTTATGCTACTAGTAAAATTCTTGCATTGTTTTAGAGACCATTCTTGCATTGTAAAATTAACCATATATCTTGTAAATCAACAGAGAGAAGAAACCACAGTGGTTGGCTCAAATATTAAGCATACAGATTTTAATAATAGCATGTTCCTGTTTAATTTTTAATTTACTTAACCACAGCATTTATTCTAACTTAAGGCAACAATTTGCCTGAAAAGTGCAATTATTTGCAACTTTTCTCATTTTTGTACATTATACATATACTCCACACCCATATAGTTTGTTTCATGTTCTCTGGCTTCTTGTAATATTTTGGCTTTTGGAAATACACTGCTGTAGGCTGCAAAAGTGAACTTTTAGCCGATGTGTTTATGGACTGGATCAGGCTTATTGTGGCATGATTCATTGTAATTAGATCCATAAGATTGATGTGTGCAGTAGAAGCTGTTCCAAGCATCTCATCCATCTCTGGTTCTACCTCTTCAGCTTCTGGCTCGGGAACTCTTTTCTTCGTCAGAAACCAGCATATACCCGTTGCTTATGTAAGGTTTTGCTTTCAGTAAAACATGTGAATGGGAGCCATGCTGGGAAGGCCAAGATGGAAATCTTCAATCCAGCCTACCCTACAATAGGAAGAGGTTTGGGCCAAAACCAGAATTATTAGTTTTTATTTTTAAAGCCTGAGGAAACCATAGCCAACAGAAAACCATACCAATAAAAGCAGCCCATGCTGCATTCCCCTAAGACTGAGTGGGCAAGAACCACAAAGTATGGGGTGGCCCCAAAAGACAAGGACATGGAGCAATGTAGCGCCTATCAAGCTGCTTTTAAAAATTCTATTCTTGAGTTAGTGTTCCGCTCCATACTTGGTTCCTTATGATGTAGGTGCAGAGGGACTCCCTTGTAGCTTTAACACTATTTTCAGATGCCAGATAAAAACATTTTAAATGATACCGGTGATTTTTTTTTTCATGGCATGGGGCTGTTGGCTGCTTCACAACACAACATCACCATCTTGCTCTGGGACTCCCACTGCAAGTGAGGACTTTGGGCCTGAAGAGGCTCTAAGGGTATGTCTACATTGCAACCAGACACCTGCGGCTGCCCCATGCCAGCTGACTCGGGCTTATCGGGCTTGGGCTAAGGGGCTGTTTAATTGCAATGTAGATGTTTGGGCTCAGGTTGCATCCTGAACTCTGGGACCCTTCCACCTTTCAGGGTGCTAGAGCCCCGACTGCAGCCCGAACCCAAATGTCTACACTGTAATTAAACAGCGCATTAACTCAAGCCCTGCAATCCTGAGTCAGCTGGCGTGGCCAGCCACAGATGTCAGTGTAGACATGCCATAAGAGGGATGATAAGAACACACAACTGACAAATTATAGTCCACTCTAGCATTTGTGGAGGCCATAGACATGGTTCTTATCTCATCTTAGACTCACCTAGAGTAAGTCAGAAGTAACGCCATTAGAATCAATGGAGTAAAAGATGTGTAAGTGAAATCACAAGCAGGGTCCATGTGAGAAAGCTCCAAAATCTTTAGATAACTGTGTGGAGAGCACAGAGGAGGAGAGTAAGGCTTTGGTTCAATGTGATACCCTGTCTGACAGAAACCTTGATAATCCTGGAAAAGTAGGTGAGAGCCATCCTTTGTCTTGAAGAACAAAAACCCAGGGCATCTCCTGAAATTTATGAAGGACCTTGATCTCCTAACTCTTAAAATTAAATATTTAAAGGAACTCTGATTTATCTGGGAGGCTGTTACAGGACCCTCTATGGAAGTGAGAGACTTATAGAAGCATCATTAGTGTGATCCTGTCAAATGTGCAACAGAGTAAAAATTCCTGATGTGGAAAAATGAGCTGCTGAAGTGACCTACAAATACAATAAAACATTCTCCTTGGATCTGAGTTTTCTGCTATGACCTAGACATGGAGGAAAGAGTTTGCTCCCTGAAACACACTTCTGTCAAAAAAGAAACAGAGGATTCAATCACAGCAAGACTGAGGGTATGCTTTGGAGACAAAATGTATATCTTCTAGCATTGGGAGTCCAGAAATAAATCCTCTTTGAAAAATTACAGCTAGGCACAAACTAAAACCAAACCATAGGAATTGCATACAGAATCAGACCAATGGTCTGTCTCGTCACGTATCCTGTTTTTGCCAGTGGCCAGAATCATACGCTACAGAGATAATAGAGTGGATAATTACACCCTGATCCTGCTCCCTTTGAAGTCAATGGCAAAATTCCTATTGACTTCAGTAGTGCAGTGTCAAGCCCCTATTGAACACTGTGGGAATCTGAAAAGAAAATCTGGATCCCAATTTTGCAGATGGCCCCTGTCTTCAGAATGGGCCAAACCAATTCAAACAACCCTAAATTTTGTGGTGATTAAAATCTGGATCCAAATTCATATTTTGTGGCTTGAGCCATTCTCCAGAAAAAATACAAATTGAGAGTAGCTTCATAGACTCTTCGAGGAATAAGAGCTGAGTAAATAATTTGTAGCAAATGATGTATTTGGTGCATCTACCCCCCACCTTTTTATTTTCCCACAAACTATCCATCAGAAGCTTATGGGTTTCCTGCTTTTGTTACTTGTTATTATTTGTGCATAATTAATTCTTGCTCTGTAGATTGTTCACAAACAATTCATTGTGAGTATTCAAAAGCTATAACTCCAGTTTCAAGCTGTGATGGCATGTTTTATCAGGTGGTATTTTTCTGTATCCTGATAGAAGGAACTCTCAGAAACCAGTTTCCAGTGTGAATACTCAATCTTACAAGTTCATTTGCTTTCCTAGGTATATTTTTAATATTGTTTCTATTTGTAATAAAGGTGCAATAGACAGGAGTGCTGGTAAGAGATTGAACTATATTATATTTCCAGGCCCCAGATACTTAAAAAGAGCAAGGGTTACAAAAGTTTATTAACCTTGTGACATGACAGAGGTCGCTGTCTACTAACTAGTAGGAACATCTTCCTCTTAAAAAAGTCAAATGCAATAAACCATAAAATATCATCTTTAAATGAGAGCCTCGGACTAATTCAACCAATTAATAAAACACCAAGAGAGATGTCGGGATGGAAATGGAGACAATGTTATGAATCAACCTTGACTGATAGAGGATTATTGTGGCTCTGACTCAGCAGACATCTGTCAATAGCTGCTATCCCTGAACCTGAATGGCTGTGTGATAGCATGACCTATTGTTCTCAAAACAGTTCCTTCTGCAGCGGCTTATTCAGCCTCTGAAGTGGATCACCATTTCTTGTCACCAAAGATGAGGGGGTCAGATTCTCTTGGCATCAACAGTTATGCAGGAGTTTCTGTGATTTTTATAGTCTCCCCAAAACCCCCAATAATGCTGTTAGCACAAGGATGGGCAAAAGCTGGTGTGGAGGAATGTTGGCTAGCAGCAGCCATATTGTTTACAATAGAATGATTCTTGTGGCAGGAACAACTGGTGATGTGACTGTGCCGTCCTGATAATGTAAACAGAACTCAAATATTTTCTTTTGCTCTTTGTGGAATAACTTGCACAGATAACAATAACTGTTGTTTCTTTGATATTATTATACAGAATATGGAGACAAGGCCCTCTGCTTTATCAAGCCAACTACATAGGTAGCATTGTGTTCTTCAATCATATGTGTGAGCTGTCAACATTTTTCTTTGGCTTTAGTAGTGACATAGTAGGCTAAGTAAGGCTCAGGCAGCTACCACAGTTCTAAGGTGGCACCAGAATAGTACAGCAACTGCTCTGATCATTCACCAGCGTGCTAGTCCTGGACTGCCCTTCTCTGGCTGCAGAGTTATTGCTCAGTCATTCCCCTCTGTGCAAAAGGGTTGTCCTTGTTTCTGCTCAGTCAAGTACAGCAGGAGCCCCTCTATCTCAGATATGCCCCTGGTTCCTTTGCACATCTTTTGCTGCTTCTGATGCAAAGGTTTCTGGTGCATGATACCTTATGTGAGCTTGGATTAAACTTTCAGTAAATATATTATTACATTATCCTGATTTTGGCTCTTCATAAAATGAGCTAACTGCCTGGTGGTTCATCAGTGATTTTTCTGTTTCATGCTAAACATTGAAGTCACATACGCAGTAAATTCTTGTTGTATTTTTCTTTGTGGGCTTATTTTCTGAGCTATTTTCATTCTTTTCCATTTCCCTGTTCTTTGTTCATATTTCGTGTCCATAATTTGGTGATGGTTTTTAAAAGGCACATGGGAATTTGACCTGTAAGACTGTGCCAAAGTGGAAAATGTATCTTGCTAAATATTTATGACAATAAAGTAACAATGCTTATATCTACTCTTGATTACCGGGATTATCTAAGTGTGCATAGCCAAATCCTGGAGACAGGCAGATTATGTGATTGTAAGGTTTTTAGCAGGCCCCAGTCTCAGGATCCAAGTTAAAGCTGATCAGGCTTAGCTTTAATTCACGTGCTGCTTTGCAAGTATATTTGCTTTTTTCTGAGAAGAAGAATTTGTGTAACTTGCTCTTTTTGTTGACACTGGCTGCAATCCAGCACCCACTGAAGTAGTGAAAAGACGCTATTGAATTAAATGGGCACTGGACAGGGCCCTAACTTTTTACACATTTTCTGCTTGCTTTGAGGACTGTGTATTCCACTTCTGTGGGATTGCAAATGTCCCAGTGATTCACACATTTTGGTATGCCTAGAGTATTGATTTTTTACATTGCTAACAAATGCCAGAAGAGTCTAGCATGACTTTCTCTTTCTAATTACATAAAAATCTGAGATGTATAAGAGGATCATAAGGGAGGGTGAAACATGGCCTTTAGGGAGCACAGGGAATAGGAATGTTTCCTTTCATTGACTGAATGAATTATTTTCAGCCAGCCAGCAGGACTTTCCCATAAGGTAGACTTCTAAGAAACTGACATCTCTTCATGGGGCAGTCTGAGTGATG